AGGCCCTAGGTTCGATTCCTCAGCACCACATAAGCAGAAAAAGCTGGAAGTGGCACTGTGGCTCAAGTGGTAGAGTGCTAGCCTTGAGCTGAATTGCTGAGAGACAGTGCCCAGGCCCAGAGTTCAGACCCCATGACTGACAAGAAAAAAAAGAAGAAGCTTTTCAGTGACACAAGTCATGTGGCAAAGTGTGAAATTAATAGTACAAACAAAGAGGCAACAGGCCAAGGTATGTGGAGCCTAAGGCCAACTTTCAAAGAGTGTTTTTCACTTTTTTTTAATTAGAAATTATACTTTATTACTCCCCCATTCCTCACTGCCTCCCTCCCCCAACTAGGGTCTAAACTCTTCTACTTGTTAGGCAGGTACTCTACCACTTGAGTTAATATTCCTAGTCCATCGTTTTTACATTTTTAAAGGTTTTTGTTTTTTTGTTTTTTGGGTTTTTTTGTTTTGTTTTGTTTTGCCTGGGGCTTGAACTCAGGGCTTGGGTGCTGTCCCTGAGCTTCTTTTGTTCAAGTCTAGCACTCTCCCACTTGAGCCACAGCACCACTTCTGGCTGAGGTATCAAACCTAGGACTTCATTCGTGCTAGGCATGCACTCTACATTAAGCCATATTCCCAGCCCGATTTTTTTTTTTTTGGTCGGTCATAGGGCTTGAACTCTGGCTCTGGACACTGGCCCTCAGCTCTTCAGCTCAAGGCTAGCACTCTGCCACTTGAGCAACAGCGCCACTTCCAGTTTTCTGAGTGGTAATTATTGGAGTCAGTTGCCTGGGCTGGCTTTGAACCACAATCCTCAGATCTCAGCCTCCTGAGTAGCTATGATTACAGGCATGAGCCGGGAGTGCCCGGCTTCCCAGCCCAATTTTTAAGGATTTAAAAACAATAGTAAGGGGCTTGGGAGGTGGCTCAGTGGTAGAGCACTAGCCTTGAGCTAAAGAGCGAAAGAAAGAAAGAAAAAGAAAGAAAGAAAGAGTTTGTCAATCTCTACTGATCATAATTTACAATCAGGCGATGTGTTGGAATCAGTGCTATTTGTCATGTTGAACTTGCTTGTTTTCTTTTTCCTATGTCTGTTTTTTCTTGACAATTCATGTATTATTCTTCCCCCGCATCCCCATTGTTCACTTAATTCTTCCTCATCCATTTTATTTTTCCTTAGTATCCAGAATGGTTGCAAGATCATCAGGAATCTCTACCTCCAGAACAGTTTGAAAAATATAAAGAGCAGCACAATGTCATGTGCAAAATCTGTGAGCAGTTTGAGGCAGAGACACCCACAGACAGTGAGGCAACACAGAAGGCACGTTTTGAGACGGTGCTCGATCTTATGCAGCAGGTAGGCCTCCTCTTGCTGTCTTCCCACTGGAACTGTCTACTTGAGTGTTAAGTGGAGAAGGTATTGGGGAATGATGCTATACCAAACTTGGGTAGAGAAGGGAGCACAAGAGAAACCACATAGCATGGTCAGAAGAAGTCAGAGAGCTAATCAAATGCATTTTATGACCTCTTCTGTTTTCTGTGATTTATGATTTTTTTTTTGTTTGTTTGCCAGTCCTGGAGCTTGAACTCGGAGCCTGGGCACTATCCTTAAGTATCTCTGTGCTCAAGGCTAGCACTCTACCACTTGAGCCATAGTACCACTTCTGGCTTTTTCTGTTTATGTAGTACTGATGAATGGAACCCAGGGCTTCATGCATGCTAGGCAAGCACCCTACTGCTAAGACACATTCCCAGCCCCTGTTTATGATTTAAGATTTCATATTCTCTTTAATTTTCAGCTACAGGATTTGGGCCATCCTCCAAAAGAGCTGGCTGGGGAAATGGTGAGTATGTGTCCTCCTGGATTTTAATTTGGCCCCCGGCTTCCATAATTCTGTAAACTCTAGTGTTTCTATCTAGGGTGATAATTGTGGATGCAGGGGATGGGTTGTCAGAAGCTCTGACCTGAATGAAGTATGAGCAATTATCTGAGTCCCTTTGTCTTTTCTCCAGCCTCCTGGTCTCAACTTTGACCTGGATGCCCTCAATCTATCGGGCCCACCAGGTGCCAGTGGTGAGCAGTGTCTGATCATGTGAAACACAGCACGCTTTCTTCCCTGAGTCCCAGCCATGGGGAACATCTGGAGTCAGCAGAACCATGAGAACTGAGGCAGGAGTGTCATCTGTGGGAATGGTCTGCTCACTGCCCCATCATCCTATTCAAGACTGTGCCATATCAGCTGAGCCTTTCCCTCTGTTTTTCTAGAAATGGGATCTGTACCATAGGCCATTTTGTGAGCCCTATTGTGGTTTCTGCTGCTAGAAAAGGCCTAGCTAAAGAAGGTATCCTTCTTGGGGCATGTACCTTCTTCCCTTTCCCAAAATAATGTTAAATATGGCCACACTCATGTTCACATTTTCTCCTGGGGTCTTTGTGCCTTGTTTCTACTCCTTTCCTTGGACTTGGGGAGCAGGGGCAGAGTACATTTATGTACTTCCCTTGGGCAGGTCCTCAAGGAGTGAGGAGACACTGGCCTGAGCTAAGGCTTTGGCTCTGTCACTGTATTCTCTTGCCTTCAGAAAGAACTTTCCTAATTCACCAAAAGAAAAGAACTTTAATATGTAATCACAATGGGATTGGAAGAGAAGCCTTAGGCTTTTTCTTTCTCTAGGTGCTGAGCCCTCAACTCCCTATTCCAGCCTGGGAATTCAAGTTGCTACCCATGTTCTTTCTACAATGCCATGTGAGCGGGATGAATCCAGCCTCTGACCTTCCTTTGTCCTGTATCTGTCCTTATCTCTTTTTAAATTCTTGTTTATTCTAAACCTGTGCCCAAGCTGTAACAAAAGAAGACCCATCCTGTTCCCCCTCATCCAATATAACCACCAGTCTCGCTAGTTCCTTCCCTCCTACTCAGGCAAAGACATAATTGTCCTGTTAAGTCTGACAAATGAATGGCCTTTCTACACAGATACATTGTGGCTTATTTGAGACAACTGATTCCCTTAGAATACTTGGTTTAGGAAAGTGCTTAGGAAAGGGGTGCAGTTTGGGGCAGTTCTAATAAATACTGAGTGAGGAATGTGGCCTATTTTTCATCTAGGTCTTTTTCCGGACTTTCCCAACTTCTGTAAGCTGCAGAATGTGGATGTTAGGAGATAGTTCTGTATATGGTACATGCTGTGCTTCCTTGGTCCCACAGCTCAGTCTTCATCTCACTTGGCAAAGGAGAGTGGACAGCCGTTTGTTCTCATTTCCTGAGTATTTCGGTCTGGGAAGCTCTTGAATAGTCGTTATATTTTATTTTATTTTATTTATTTATTTTTTGGGTCTGGTCGTGGGGCCTGAACTCTGGGCCTGGGTGCTGTCCCTCAGCTCTTCAGCTCAAGGCTAGCGCTCTACCACATGAGCCACAGCGTCACTTCCGGCTTTTTTCTTTTTGCTTATGTGGTGCTGAGAATCGAACCCAGGGCCTCATGCATGCAAGGCAAGCTCTCTACCACTGAGCCTCCTTCCCAGCCCTTATTTTTTTATGCCAATCCTGGGGCTTGAACTCGGGGCCTGGTCTCTATCCCTGAGCTCAGGGCTACCACTCTACCTAATATTTCATATGTCAACTCCACTTCTGGCTTTTTGTGGTTAATTGGAGTTATAAGAGTTCCATGGAGGGGCTGGGAAGAGAGCTCAGTGGTAGAGTGCTTGTCTTGCATGCATGAGGCCTTGTGTTCAATTCCTCAGCACCACATAAGCCAGAAGTAGCTCTGTGGCTCAAGTGGCAGAGTTAGCCTTCAGCTGAAGAGCTGAGGAACAGCACGCAGGCCCAGAGTTCAGGCCCCACGACCAATCAATCAATAAATAAATAGAGTTCCATGGACTGTCCTGCCAGGGCTGGCTTTGAACCACAATCCTCAAATCTCAGCCTCCTGAGCAGCTAGGATTACAAGCTAGAGCCACTGGCACCTGGCCCTATATGTTAATTTTATGCATTGTAACTATGTTAAAAATATGTTGTTAATATGTTTCTAAATTAGCTGTCTTTGAACTGACTGCTCTTTTCATTGACTTTAAGGACCTTGCTGTTACATGTTTGGTCAGCCCAGATGACTGTCCTGATTCACTGTCCTAATTTATACTCATTATCTGAGTCACTTTAAGCTCCTGATACTTTTTTCCCCCTGGATTACAACTTTTTACCTTTACATATGCCACACCTTCAGTGGCATTGAAAGACAGGAAATGTTCTTGGGGCTTTAGGCTATTTGGGCAACTCCAGGTATCACATTATTAGAGCATGGAAGAACCAGGTCAGAATGAGAAAGTCCTCAATTCTTTGAGGGATGAAGCATACTTGTGATAATAATTGTGGGGCCTAAATATCAGATTCCTTAAAACACCAACCAAAAACTCAACAAAGGTAGAGCAGAAATGGCCTGCCCTTTGAACTGTCCCACCAGTTTTCTTTTATAGATTCTTATTTTAATTGGCATATTTGAGGAATGTAAAGGACACTTGAGTCCATTTTAGCTGTGTGTGTGTGTGTCTCTGTGTGTGTGTGTGTCTCTGTGTGTGTGTGTGTGTGTGTGTGTGTGTGTGTGTGTCTCTGTGTGTGTGTGTGTGTGTGTGTGTGGTTAACCGAAAACTGCAATCCTCAGATCTCAGCTTCCTGTGTAACTGTAATTATTTTTCCTATGTAACTGTAATTGTTTCGTTAGGGTTTTTTGTCAGTCGTGGGGCTTGAACTCTGAGCGTGGGCACTCTCGCTGCGCTCTTCAGCTCAAGGCTAGCACTCTACTTCTGGTTTTTTTCTGTTTATGTGGTGATAGGAATCTAACTCAGGGCCTCATGCATGTGAGGCAAGCACTCTACCACTGTGCCAACTCCCCAGCCCCTTGTTATTTTTAATTTGATTGAACATAAGCCAACCAACAATGCCCAAACTTTTTTTTTTTTTTTTTGGTCTGAAACCAGAACTTGAACTTGGTATGGAGCCACACCTCCGGTCCCAATTTTTTGTTTGCTTTTTTGCCCCAAACTATTCCATGTGTAATAGGTTTTGTCCACTGGTCATGTAATTGGATATATAGCAATGTAGTGTCAAATTCTAAAAAGTATATCAACACTGAAATTTTATTTTTATTTATTTATTTTTTGTCAGTTATGGGGCTTGAACTCTGGGCCTCAGCTCTTCAGCTCAAGGAGAGCACTCTCCCACTTGAGCTACAGCGCCACTTCTGGTTTTCTGAGTGTTTATTGGAGAAAAGAGTTTCACGGACTTTCCTGCCCGGGCTTGGCTTTGAACCACTATCCTCAAATCTCAGCCTCCTGAGTAGCTAGGATTACAAGCGTGAGCCACCGGCACCTGGCTTTATTTTTATTTTTTGCCACTGTGGGACTTGAACTTCTAGGCTAGTCTAGAGCATAACACCAAGACCCTATCTTTTCTTTTTTTTTTTTTTTTTTTTGCTAGTCTTGGAGCTTGGACTCAGGTCCTGGGCACTGTCCTTGAGCTTCTTTGCTCAAGGCTAGCACTCTACCATTTGAGCCATAGTGCCGCTGCTAGCTTTTTCTGTTTATGTGGTACTAAGAAATTGAACCCAGGGCTTTATGCAAGTGCTAGGCAAGCACTCTACCACTAAGCCACATTCCCAGCCCAAGACCTCATCCTGAAGATAACCAACACAGCCAGGTGCTGGTGGCTCATGCCTGTAATCCTAGCTATTGGAGGCTGAGATCTGAGGATAACTGTTTGAAATCAGTCCAGACAGAAAAGTCTATGACACTCTTATCTCCAATTAACCACCAGAAAACCAAAAGTGGAGTTGTAGCTCAAAGTAGTAGAGCGCTAGCCTTAAAAGGCTCAGGGTTAGTGCCAAGACCCTGAGTTCAAGCCCCATGACCAACAAAAAGAAAAAAGAACCAATGCAAAAAATGTTGGAGTGCTTCAAGTGACAGAATACCTGCTTAGCCATCTTGAAGCCCTAAATTCAAACCTCAGTATCAGCATACATAAATAAATAGTTTACATTGTCCATTCTGTCAGCAACAGAAACTTAATACACAGCCCCTGGTTCAGTACTACTCAAGGAGAACAACCAGCTACTTGGTGAGTTGATTATAATAAACATTTTTCTATTTGGGAAATGGTAAATGTTTATCCTGACCAGGATTAATATATACCCTGCTCTTCCTGCTTTGCCTACAGTACCTCAGACCATACTACTATTCAAGAAGTTGTGGTTATTGCTGATTCTACATAATTATGCAATGGAACAAAAGACCCACTTAATGACAAAATGTGTAGCAGTAGACATATGACTATGTATATATCAGTTGGATTTAATAATCCTACCAAATACTTCCCATGGAGAAGTTGTGGGCCTTGTAGAAGTGAGAAAGCTGGGTGTGGGTATACACACTACTAGGGTTTCAACTCAGGTCCTCACCAATTGCACTTTTTTTTCTTTTTTGGTCGTGGGGCTTGAACTCTGGGCCTGGGCACTGTCCTTCAGCAATTAAGCTCAAAGCAAGTGCTCTTCCACTTAAGCCACAGAGCCACTTTGGGTTTTCTAGTGGTTAACTGGAGATAAGAGTCTTAAGGACTTTCCTTCCCAGGCTAACTTTGAACCGTGATCCTCAGATCTCAGCCTCCTGAGTAGGTAGGATTACGGCATGGGCCACCAGCACCCAGCCCACTTGTACTTCTTTAGCCATGTCTCCAGTGTGAAGTGACTTTTTGAAGGAGCAGTACCATCAAGTATAGGGTAGCATATTTCACAATTCCGTGTGAACCCTCTTGGCTGTATTGGGACATTCTACAGGTCTGGAGGCCCTGGTTTCCAACCTAAGAATCTCAGTAAACTAATAATGGTTACCATCTTATCACTTTGGGCTTCTAATGTCAGCTGATTTACCAGGCAAAGAAAAGGCATTGTACAGTCTGGGATAATTGACTCTATGAGAAGGTAAGACTATAACATAATGGAAGCAGAGAGGCAAGCATGTTAGGTATATGTGATCCCTGGTGTGTCTCTAGGCTTTTCATGCTTAATTTTAGCAGTTGGTAAATAACAATTATAGCCTGCTAAGAGTGTGACCTCCAGGGCTCAGGGATGAGAGTCTAGGTCACCCCACCAAGTAAGCCACTTAGACCAGTGTGTAAGCTGCTAATAGCTCATAGCTGCTTTATTGAGAATTATCCTGTGCCAATAACAGTGAAGTCTGGACATTCTTGGGGGTATACTCTGCCAAAGAGAGGAGTATGGTGTCCGTTTTTATAAGGAAGGCAGTTGGGATTGTGGTAGAGGTTGCATTATCAGTGGTTATGTGCAATCAAACAATACCATCATGCAAAATTCCCACCTTTCCTCTAGGTGGGACACTTGTACCATTTATCTTGCACTGTTCCCAGGGTAG